AATAATCCCATCATTTAATTAGTTGAATGATTTAAACAAAGATTTGCATAGATGCACTAATCAGTTGCCATGAATTACAGAGCAGCAGTTGCCAGCGAGGGGTAACAGATCATACAGTTGGAGGGAAAAAAAATCTCATCTCCTTGAACATAATTAATTTAATTGTCCTCATTAGCTGTACCATTTGTTTTGATTTTATTTCTCCCTTTCCCCACACATAACTTCTCCCTCCCTCTTTTCTTCTTCTCCAAGTGCATTGGTGGAGAGAGGCACACACACACTCACTCACACTGCTGTATTTCCAGAGTGGTTGTGGCAGAGGTAGTCTATAAACAGAGGCAAGTGAGGCTCTCCTGAGCATATGGGTGCGTGCAGGAGAGGAGCAGGTCTCTGTTAAGTTTGGCTTTTCTCTGTGTGCAGATCAAATCAGCAGAAAGGGGCTCTGTTAGTCTGCTGCCTCTGATTGTGCTTTTCGGGTTCTTGCTCAGGTTGGTTGTGGCTGAGTTTTATTGCTACTTAGAGGGAGAGGGGGCAAGAGATTCAGGAATTGTTCATTGCACAGTATGCTTGTTACAGAAACCTTTAAATATGTATATTTTTATATATTAAGGAAAAAAAAAAAAGATAAGAGCTTAAAATGGTGGGGGGAGGTGAGGGAACCTGTCCTAAACATATACATTTCTGAGGTTGCTTTGATTTTTATTAGAGCTGCTGGATTATAGGAGGGGAGGGGTGTAGATGGCAGGGCACTTCAATGCTTTTAAATCTTTCTTGGGTCTTGAAAGACTTCTATAATATGAGTGTCATTCAAATTTAGGGTATATTGTAAGCTGACATCTTTCAAAGCTTTGTGGAAATCTAGCGTGGTGCTTCTAATAGCAGACAACAGATATTCACTTTGAAGTCTGAAAACTGTATTCACAAATTCTTAATCTGGTCTTTCTCCAACTGCAGATGGCTCTTAGAGGAAGATGCTTTGGATTTTTTTAACTTTATTTACAGTAGGCTAGGCTCAACATCTTTATTATAAAACACGAAGAAACAGTCATCTGTGAGTGTGACTGAGTATCAAAGTGTTCCCTGCCTCTGCTGTGTTTGAGTGTCTGTCTGTCTGTCTTTGCGGTCAGGGGTGTTCAGCACCTCTAACAGCCCCCATGGCTATTATCTTTTCCCCCTCCAACGCTAGGTAGAGGATAAAGATCCGTCTTCAGCTCCTGGGACGAGGATGCTGCAGGGTGGGGGGCAGTGGTTTGGCTTCCTTCAGCATTCAGCTTCAAAAGTGCAGTGAGGGGGTGGCACGGCCGGGGAGCAGGAAACTTTCACACCGGAGTTTCCACTGCTTTCTGAGCAGCTCAGATCTAGCACGGAGAGAGGCAGAGTTTTCACCTTCAGGGATTTTTCTCATTACTCATTAATAGAGAGAGATATGTATCTTCCCCCCCCCCCTTTTTTTTTTTCTTTCTTCTTTTTTTTTTTTTTTTTTCCCTTTTTGCGTGGGCAACTTCTGGTTTTGTTTAAGCCAAGTATTTTGGGAGGAGTGATGGAGGGTGGGGGTCTCGGCGCTCCCCTGGCTGCCGGGGTGTGCTCCTGGAGCACTCTCTGGGAAGGTGATCCCGAGCCGCTTCGGCAGAGGTCACTTGTGTGTGCGTGTGTGTGTGTGTGTCCCTGGTGTTTGTGTCTAGCATATGCATGTGGTTTTGCTGACTGCACTTGCAGGCTTGTAAATTTTCACCATGGGAAATTACCAACAAAGCCCAATCTGTCTCCTGGCTGCTTTGCACTTTCCGAGGGCGGCTGTACTTGAGCGAGCTGCAGAACGAGAGAGGAGAAAGCGAGAGGGAGAGAGAGAAAGGGGGAGCGGGGAGGGGGGAGAGGAAGGGTGGGTGGGTGGGTGGAGGGGGAGAGAGGTAAATAGCCTTAAATCGGAAGGGAGCTGCTTCTCTGTGGTCTTCCACAAGAGCTGCCTGGGCTCTGCTGGCTCAGTAATAACTGAGTGACCTTTTCTTTTGCTGTATTATGTCTGGCTGGTAAGGGATTGCATTTTGCAGCTGATAAAGCCCTGACTTCATTCAACTCGGCTCCTCACACGCTGCTTTAGGTAAGTTGTCTTCAGCCAGGACGGAGACAGACAGCCTTGGACTGCAAGATACTAAAAGGAGGACACCTGTAGCTCGGATGCGGTCAACACAATTACTTGGCGGATCCTTGAGGACCTCATTATTTTAAACTTAAAGAATAGCGATCTCCCTCCCCATCTCTCCCACCCCCTCTTTATTTTTTTTTCCCCAAACAATGCTTCTTTTTGACCTTTTCCAAGGAGAAGAGCTACAAAGCAGCCACTGTGCTTATTGAACTGCCTCCCCTGTATCGCTTAATTGAGAAGGTAAGTGAGGCAACTGTGTACATAAGCTTTGGGTCATTTGTGTATGTGTGCCTGCATCTCTCTCTCTCTCTCTCCTTCTCTCTCTCTCTCTCTCTCTCCCTCTCTGAGTCATAAGCCGGGGCTGCAATACACACACACACATCTCTGCACTGCAACTTTCACTCGAGCTGCAGCTCTGCTGAGACTGTTTTGTTTAAATCATGTGAGGCTTCATTATTTTTATGATGAGACATGAAATACATGCAAGCAGAGGCTGCTGAGCGAAACCCATCCAGCTGTACGTCTCGAGAAATAGCAGTCAAAGTTAACAATGAATTGCAGCCCCACCACTACCCCCCTCCCCGTTATTATTGTTATTATTATTCTTGCTTCTTCCAGAGCTTCTCGAAACATGCTCTCGATTATCAAGGGAGTCGGTTAATTTCCCACTCCCCGGCTTTAATCCACAAGCCTCCCCGTACAGCAGTTTAATTTGCAAGTGGTTCGGCGCAGGGTTAACCCTTTGAGCGGGGCGGAGAGCCCGGGGGGCGGCAGGGAGGCGCACGGGCTGCGGGCTCGGGGCTCCCGCGTCCTCCCTCTCCCGGAGCGCCCAGAGGGAAGGGCAGCCAGGCTGCCGCTGGGCAGCGGCACTTCTGTGCGCCAGCATTTCTCTTTTTTCCTCTTTTTTTGGCTTTTTTTTTTTTTTCTTTCCTCTTCTCCCCCCCCCACCCCGCTTCTCCCTTCTTAGCGGGCGCGATACGGTATGCTAACGCCGCATGTGACACTTTAATCAAACCCATTTGTTACAACAAAGCTAAGAGACCGCTGGGATTATAGGCTTACGGCAGAGTTAGGGGAGCATGTGGCTCTGTGGCGGCTCGGGGTGTGCCGTCCCCCCCATCCATCCACCTCCACATCCACATCCACATCCACATCCCCCCCGCCCCCGCTGCGGCGCGCCGCGCTCCCGCTCACTTGACCCGAGCCGAGGAAGCACTTGCTACTTTTGCCGGGATTTGGTGCTTTCAATGAGAAGGAGCTCTCCAGGCGCCCGTAAATCAACTCATGCAGAAAAAGGAGAAAAGTTTTGGTAAGGCGGCGGTGGCCGGCGCTGGCGGTGCGCTCCCAGGGGGGAGGCGGGGGGCTCCTCCTTCCTCTTCCATCCTCACCGCGGGGCTCTGGGCAGAGCCGAAATGCCGCTTGCTTAGGACAGCTCTGCAGGACCGCTCCTAAAACCGATCCCTTTTGCTCGGTGCAGCAAACATCGCGACGTGCTGTCCCCGACACCTCCCTCTCCCCATCCTTGCGATGCTCGGAAAGGAATTGGCATAAAAGGCTTGAGCGTCTAACTCCGAAAAGGGATTCTTTGTTGTGGAGTATATGTTTCTTATTTATTTTTTTTTTATTATTATTATTTTGCATGTGAGCTGCATCAAAATTGAACTCAGTCTTGCAAATCTCTTGTTGGCCTTTGCCAAGCACTAGCACTTTGCTGCCATGGTAACTGTAATTAAACTGATAAGAGTGGAAAAATGTCAGTATCTCTGAGCCTTGCAGCTGCATTGGAGAAAAAGGGAATCAAATTGGTTCCCAGCACCACTGCTCTAAAAAAGGAGGGGGGGAGAGTGGTGGTGGGGGGGCTGGGGGAGAGAGATGGGGGGACACGCCAGGGGTAGGAACATAGCTCAGCAGCTCCAGTCCCTGAGATCTGGGTACATCTATTTGCTGTGTTGTCCCTTAGGGGGCTACAGCCTGCAGGGATGCTCTGGGCCAGTGAACAGAGAGAAACAAGCTTTTAGGCCCAATCTAGCTTTCAAAAAGAGAAGGGGAAAGAAGAAGAGAAATCTTTTGTTTGGTGTCTCTTGGCAATCGACTAGCCATGTTGGCCAAATTCTTTTAATCTGTATCACTGCTCCCAGCTGTGGGACTGCATTCCCATTTTTATTTTTTGCCTAGCCTCTTCTCTTTTCCTTTTTTATTTTTCATCCCCTCCTTCCCAACCCATATCTTTTATTTAGAAAGAAAAAAAAATCAAAAATAATAAAGGAAAAAAACAGATTCCTCTGTAGAAGAAGGGGCAGGAGGTGAAGTCTAGTTATACACCATGGAAAATTAACTCAAAAGTATACAGGAGAGGCTATATTCAGAGTGCTAAAATCCTTACTTTTATTTAAAAAAAAATCCCCGAGTGTTATGGAGTTGCGGTTACTTTGTTGTGTTAACTACAGAAGCTGAGACTGTGCGGATGAATGGCACAGAACAAGAGAGCATAATGGAGGCAATCAACCGTTAGGCTGGTTCACAATGCAATCCAGGCAATTAAAAGCTCACCAGAGTTTAAATGAAATGGTTCCACTTATTTCTGTGCACCACACTGCACAGGCTATTATTTATGTCTCTTTTTTTAATTATGATTTGCCTTAAACTGTCAAATAACTCAGAATAGCAGGGTCTCGGAGGCAATAAGAATTTTCCACAGAACAATTTACATGCCAATCTAAAACTAGTTACGACTCCTGATGTGCTACATATGAGTTCTGAAATGTTTCTTAGCTTCTGAAACCACAACTTTTTTTTTTTTTTTTTTTTTTCCCCGAGTCTGTGTGTGTTGCCTGAATTACTGGAGCTCTGAATGCTTTTAGGATGAAGCTATAAAGTGGGAAAGCACCAGAAAAGTATTCTATTTTTCTTTTCCTAGACCCCTAGCTCTCTTGTTGACTGCATGTTGTCTGTCAGTTTGCTTTTAAAGACTGATGCACCCAATACTCAATTTACCCCAAACTGATTTTTCAATTGTTTTTTTTCCTAAATAGATGCGAGTTTGCTCTTCTGTGCTGTTTGTGCTACTATCTTTGGTGGAAGCGTGTGCATGCTTCTGAAAAAGGGGGGAAGAGTGGTCTTTAAAAGTTTCTAAGAGATCCAGAGCATAATACAACTCTTCCTCCCAAGGACTGCCTGTACCACAAACAAGAACTGAGTTCTGAGTGTCTCACACCACGCTCAGCACCTCAGGGACTAATCCCGATTACAGATGCTTCTAAATCACTAACACAATATAGTTCATTACCTCAAATCCTCATTCCCCTTGATTTTTGAGAAGGGAGATGATTTGAGTGAGATGGATTTTTGCTTCTCTGCCTTCCCTGGGAGCCTAATTTAGCTTTTTCCAGCAACCATTTCTCTTTATCCTGAAATCATAGTTACAAATCAGTTGACAGTGTTTCATCACAGGATAATAACAATAAACAGGGAGGGGAGTCAACTGCATCAAACTTATTTGGGGAGATGGAGAAAAATCTGAAAACCTGCAAGTCGGGTTTTTAAGTTCTCCCTTCAAAAATCCTAAAGGGGGTGAATAGTGATGAAGAAGTCTTATTCCTGCCACAGCTCTGCATTTTATGTGCAGTATCCTGGGGATGGAGGGAGGGAGCGGAGGGAAGGATAGAGTAAGCCCTTGAAAGCATATTGGGGTGAAATAAAAAGGGTTTGTTTGACAGTGACAGACTAGGCACTGAAATTCCTCACTTCTGAGAACAGATCTGCTCTGTGATGCAGAGCATGGGTAGAACTCTGCAGAACTGAAGGGAAAGCTCGGTTTGATTTTTCCTTTTTTTTTTTTTTTTTTTCCACATCCTGGGTGTAGCACTTAGGGAATTGTATGATATTTTGAAAGTGCTCCATAAGCTTTGCTTTCCTGGGGGAGGGGGAGAGGAAGGCAGCCAGGCAGCAGCGCTGTGTACTGCCACCTGATATTTCAGCAACGAGCAGTTTGGATGGATTTGTGGGTGCTGTCAGCCTCTGAAAAGGCCCTTCCCATGTCCTAGGGAATAAATGAGTAGTTAAACTGCAGCCTGTGAAAAGCTGGCTGACAGTAAGCTGCAAGGTATTCTTATTGCCAAATTAAGGGAGAGCTAAAAATACACAAGCGTGTGTGTATCTGAAAAGTGCAACTGCATTGGAGGAAGATCTTATGGGAATGTTAAAGGGGAGAGATGGTCTGTGAGGTGATCTTCATTAGAGTGGCTCATACAAATACAGGAAATAAAACCAGTAAAATGTTCTGTTTCAAAATTAAGGGATTTAAACAGGCCATGTGAAGAAAAGGACATTTTCAAATTCGGATATATGTCAAACATTTTTTTACTTTATTTAGAACCCTTCTACGCTACCAAAAAAGCATAACTTTTTTTTTTTTTTTTTTTTTTACAATGAAGCAGTAGTTTGGCAAAATTGAAATAATAAAATAGAACCAAATTCATTGCATGTAAAGTGAGAACAATCAGATCTATCAGAGGAGAAAAGCTTTCCTTCCCTCCAAAAGCTGCTGCAAATAGAATCCCTAATCTGAAGATGCTGCCAGTGGGGTGTCAGCACCACCTTCTCTCTCTGCCTCAGAAAAACAGATGTGCAGGGTTGCAAACACACCTTCCATGGGGTGTTTGCCCCTTTGCAGTTGTCCCTACAAAAAGGTTTTGGGCTAACCAGTGTGAATGACAGGGCTCTGCCTACTTTCCTCATGTAACAAGTATCTCAAAAGCTGCGCAGGCTATGTGCAAGCTGCAGTTTTATTTGTAATACAATAACCTCATGTTTGCAGCATATACCTCGGGAATTATCAGGCTTGATTACTGCAATCTGCTCAGACATTCACTTGTTTGGCCGTGTTTCTGTGGCATCTTGTTCCCTTCAGACAGCTCAGGACAGTAGATCAGCCTGGATCAGAGACTGTCAGCCTCCACTCTCTAACCCGCTTCCTTATCAGGCGATGAAATTTTTACATTAAGATTTTTTTCGTTAAAGCCTTTAACTCTGTTAGCTCCTAGTTTATTCTGGTTTCCCTCGAGCTAAAGATTAAAGTCCTAGAACAGCCCTTCATGCTTCTAAACTTTTTTTTTTTTTTTTTTTAACCGAGTTACAAGAAGTTTATACAAATTGTGGCTGATTTTATGCATTTGTCCTCTACATGGCCAAAGAGAAGGTCTGGGGATAAGCCTGTTGTTGGCACCTGGTGGATATTTACACTCTACTGTGATAAGCAACATTACAGATTAAGGCTTTTCCACCAAGTGATGTTATTAGAGTTTCAGCAGGAGTTCCCTTTACAGTCTGATACAGGTTCCTTACCAGAAATCTCTGATATTTCCACTGCTTTGAGTCTTTTCTTTGTAGCCACGTTGCTTTGCTGTTTCATGGGTGTACCCTGGATTCAGAGGAGTCAGCTGTCAATTGAAAATGCTGCAAAAGCTCAGCCTTTGTCTCATGGTCCTTTCTCAAGAGGAAATGTGTGTGTTCATTCCCAGATCTGCACAGACTGTGGAGCCCAGTGCAGGTCACTGGATCTCTTCGGATCCTCTCCCTTGGGAATGAGAGACAGATCTTAGGATGGTGGTGGTGAGGAGCTACAAGCATCCTCACCTACGTGTTGAGGAGCTATGAGCATCAACTGGGGAGTGATGGGAGGGACAGCACTGACAAGTTTTATACTAGTTGATAGAAAAATGCAGACCTTACACTTCTGTCATGAGATTTAGATGTTATGCAGCAGCATTGCCAGGGTACTTTGGTGTGTCTTCTAACAGAACTGCCTGCACATCCCTGAGCAGCTCCTCCACCAGATAAATGCAACCCCCCAAGATGTGTGACAGGCTGCCTTGCAAAGAGAGGAGCGAGGCTGCTGTTGCAATAAGAATTATTATTTCTAATTCAGCGATCAGCTTTGCAGGTGGGACTTAGCGGTTCAGCTTGGGAACACTGGAAAGTCACCTAAATGGCCATGCACTCCATGTAAATTCCATGTGTTCTACACACACCTGTGTGGAGTTCCCTGGGATGCCTCAGCCTGTTTTTGCAGCCCTAACATCCATAAAGGCACGCTCTACCAATGCTTCAAAGGTTACACTGCTTTTCCTGTTTTTCTTACGAGGGATTTCAAAAAAGCAAACACAAACCAAACCAAACAACCCCCGAGTCATCTGTGTTCTAGCTCCCTGAACCTGCCTGTGTATGGTGGTGTGTTACAGCACCAGCCAAGGTCTGCTGATGGAAGCTGACACTGCCAAGCTCTCTTAACTCCAGGTAGTAGAGCGTTCATGGTGAGGGGCTCTTGAAATTTGCTCCTCTTTGCTATGAGACTTTATTCGACCTTTCCCAAACTCTGGATGATGATAATAGCATTCCAAACTCCAAACTTTGGCATAGGATTGGCTTGTTAGCAACAGCATTTGTTCCTCATCTTGAATCTCCCCAAATCTTGACAAATCCTCATTGCAACATTCAGACACTCTCTAGTGAGTAGCATCTTTTTGAAGTTACATCACTGGCTTTAAAGCAGTGAGGTAACCCCATATTGAACAGCGTGTCGGGTCTTCCCTTCTCTCCTGTCCCTGTTTGATGTCCCCCAGAATATCCACAGGGCTATTATTTTGCTTATCCTAAGAGATAACTGTGAGAGAATTAGTCTGAGTGCACTGGGATGGCAGTTCTTGCAGCTAGCCAGGGAGACCAGTCTGTGAGCACTTTGGGGCAGTGACCTCTCCCCATTTACTGTAAAGCTGAGGGCAATTGATTTTTGAATGGATCCCTGGAAGCTAGCTGTGTTACTCTGAGTAATATCGCTCAGCTGTGTTCCCCTTTTTGCTGGTTCTGTCCATTAAACAGTGTTTCAGGTGTTTGAATGGTTTTTTAAATGCTCTCAGCTATTACATCAAAAGGTGTATATATATTTAATGGACACTACTGTACTCCTTGTCCTGAAGTAGCTGTTGGCTAAAACTGGGATTGGAAAGCGGGGCAGCGCTTTTATTTTTTTTTTTTCCTTGACAAACTAGAACCTCTCTGACCTTGTGCAGATTATTTTAAGTCAAAATTTTTCAGGAGGTCTTTCCACTGCGTTGCTGCTACTGAAGACTTTGGAAATCTCACCACTTCATTAATATGTCTAAAAAGAACTAAAATATTAAAAAACAAAGCACCCTCTTGCCAGTATCAATATTTCTATGTCAAATCTCTCAGAAACTCTTGCTCCGTGCCTCTAAAAGCTCAAATATTTTCTTCTTTAAAAACTGAAGTTCTTTTATATTTTATAAATATAGTGCAAATCACTCCAAATGTGTGGATTTAAGTATGTTTTCCATATAGATATCCTGTTTATTTAAATTTT